GGGGGGTGGGCCTGGGGCTGTTGCTGATGGCCCCAGTGCGGCGGGTGGCAGCGTCTCGGGAGCGTCGCAGCGGCCCTAGTGCAGCCTGTGGGCACCGCCAGCGCGGCGGCCCTTCCTCTGGCGCCTTGGAGCCCTGCTGCTCGGGAAGGGCGCGCGTGTGGAGCTGTCCAGCTGCAGGCACGGAGCCTCGTGCTGGGGCTTCCTACCAACGCCAGTGCAGGAGTGGGATTGCCCTCTCAAGGTACTCTATAGGCGATATAAGAGCTTACATGAGATCGTAGGTAGTGTATTTAATGTCAGGCAGTACAAATATTCTCCCCACAGATCTCTCCCTAACCCCCAGTGTCCGTGCCAAGGATCCACAGCTCAGCCAGGAAGACCCTTTTGCAGTTCTGCTCTTGTCTGTCCCTTCCTGTGCTTTGTTTTGCCCAGCAGCACCATTCAGCTTTCCTTTAAATAGTCATTGGGGAGGGAAGGGCACTACAACTGGCAACTGATGTCTGTTAGTCGAAGAGCCAGAGGAATAGCAAACAGGAAATTATATCCAAATTGGAACCTGAGTCGTATGAACTTGAATGCTGCTAAGTCTACAGCAGCCATTTTTAATGCTTTCTTGATGTCCATGTGATAAGACTTGGGAGCTTAATTTCCTGTGGTCTGAAGTCCTGAAGAGGATTTTTATGCCGTTTTCTATGTAGTTTTTGCTGCATAAGACTTCAGAATAGTTGGCAAATGGAGAAAGAATCTAAAATACCACAAAAAGAACAGTGCAAATCCCCATCCCCTATGTGTCGTGTTATGTGCTTTGTTATGTCTACAGGGATGAATTTTGGCAATGTCTAGTTTTTAAGGGCTGTGATGTAAGAGTCCTAACAAGAGTAAGTTGTTTTATTCGACCCTGCTATGAGTACCTTGAAGCCTCACCTCACTCGGTGGAAAAGGGCTACACGTATGATTGGGTGTCCATGGAAGATGGGGATCCAAAAGCCTTCTGAATGTCACGTGGGCCTTTCTGAAGTAAGTAGATGTACCAGAATCCCAGGTAATTCCTCTCTGGACAGATGAAATAGGATTGTAAAGTGTAGCCCCTGATGATCACCTTCTGTTATCAAATGTAAAAGAAAGTGTTTTGTTTTGCCTTTAAGTAAACCCTTAATTATAACTGATCGTCCTCATGCAGATGGGTTCAGTGGGGGCGGAAGCAGTAGGTGGTAGAAGTTTTGCCTTGTAGAAGAAGGTGCATCTGGACCCTTCCCCTGCATTGCACTACAACAAAAACCAAAAGGGAATGTTAGAAACTTCTGACCTTTTTACTGTGGAGGGCTTTCATTCTCTGTAGCTCCTAGGCAGTAAACCAATGGACCCGGACCTCTAAAGGCCACTTATATAATTGCAGATAAATAGACTAGAGTGCTCCGTGTGCCACGAAAACTGCAGGGAAGTGCAGTGGCAGGTGTCTTGCCTCTTAGAGCAGCCGCAGGTTTCATTATAGGTTGCTCACGAGAAAGCACCACAGTGAATAGAAGTGGGAGGTTTCAGAGAGCTGCTTTAGCCGTTCAGAGTCGCGCCACGTCTCACGCGTGCTTCATCCCTCCCGTCTTCCTGCCTGTTCACTTTGGCCAGAGGTCTGAGGCTTCCTGCGTGAAGGCAAGACGTGCCCTGGCAGATGTCAAACGCGAGGCTGTAAATCTTCTCAACCTCAACTGCTTTTTTCAGTCCTAGCAATTTAACAACTAAAAAGCTTTTGTTTTTAAAGAAAACCTCTTAAAGGGATTATTTTGTATTAGCAAATTGTTGCTCTGCTTTAGAGACCCCGCTGTACGTGAAGCTGCTTTCTCTCGTTGCATGTGGGGTGGCTTTCCTGCCTCCTCTCCCAAGAAGCCGTTTTAGAGATGTAACGAATCTTCCAGCTGCTTCGGCTAACCCGGTCCACGCAGGTTTATGTTCCTGCTCTCTCTGTTCCCTCGGTCCTCGTTGCTTTCTGGGTTTGAGCACGGTGGGATGCGGCTCCTGGCTGTGCACGGCTTTCTGCTTCTGGGCACGGTACGCCCTACTGAGAAGGGGGTGGTTTTTCAGGGTGGCTTTTCAGCATGAAAAGGTTTTCCCAAAGTAGGTTTTCATGCTAAATTTTAATTTAAAACAAAGTGAAGGCTGTGGCTCTGCAGACAGACTTCTGCTGGCAGGTCCTCACATGCGCAATCCTGTTCCAGTCACTGAAGCTCTGCATGGAGGTGAAACCTACTTAATACACTTTTCAACTACTAAGCTGCTGCTTGCCAATCACTAATCCCTCACTTTCCAGATGATTGTTCTTCCTGTATTTTATAGCCTAAAGCTTCCCCTTGCTAAAGATGGATGAAACTTTTCAGAAGTGCCTAAGCCCTGTTGCTATCTCGTGGGGATCTCGCAGGGCTTAAGAACAAATCTTTATTTAGGAAATAAGTGCTCATAAGCTGTCTGTACTGTGTGTAGCAGCACTGAGAAGCAACGAGTTGGGAGTTCTCAGAAGAACCAGACTTGCCCTTTGCACTAGGAAGGGTCCTCGTGGTTTCCAAAGGCCATTGAAAGTTCTGGAAAACAGGTTTCCTGTGCTCCCAGCAGAGATACATGTGTGAATGCCTTACCTTGGTCTGAGAGGGGACCGGGACGAGTGTGCGGCACTGCTGTGCAGAGCCTCGTGCTCAGGGGCAGGCGCGGGGGAGGCCAGGCCCAAGTGTTGTTCAGTGAGCAGCTTTTACACCAGACCTTAAGTAAAACAGTATTTTGCACCAGAATGTAGCTGTACGGATGCGTGGTCAAAGTACACAAGGCTGCAAGCGGGTTGCAGTGTTTTGTGTTCTCTGTGTAAATATATAAATATTGATGCACACATTGCATGGTTGGTTTGGGGTTTTTGGGGGCCTCATTGATCGTCAGCATGGATTCAAAAGTGATCACTGGAAAAACCATGTCCTGAGCCCTCTGAACAAGGAGGAGGAGAACCTTCGTGCACCAGAAATGGAGCTGACCTCATGTGTGGCAGCAGCAAAGGAAGTGCTGGACCCTGCAGCCAGTAAACAGACCTCTTGAACGAGTCTTGTTCATAGTATATTACTACTGTTGTTACCATTTTTCTAGTAGCTTCTTTCCTTTTGTGCCTCGTGGTGTTTGAGTTTGAATGTATTGGCAGCTGGTGGCGAGCTGGAGCGTTGGGAAGACAACCCCCAGCGGCACCCGGAGCAGAGCCCTGCTTTTCTGGTGGCACTTGTTGAGCCTTTTAGAGATCAGCCTCCAGGAAGTACACGCTGTGGAAGGGGGAAGAAGTTAAAGGTGGATGTACCCCTAAACTGCTTTTAAATGGCTTTTTTCTTTTTCCATTCAATAATGGTATTAGAAAAAGAAAGTTCTTCTAAACTGATACGTGTTTTTCTTTTAAACTGAATTATGCAGCCATTAATGTCCAGGTTCATGTAGAGTACAATACTAAGGCTGACAGCTGTAATGATTCCTTTTTAATAAATCTAGGAAAAAAAACTTTGATATGGCTTTCTGTAACATTGTTAAAAGG